CAGGGAGCCCGATGCGGGGCTCAATCCCAGGACCCCGAGATCATGACCTGAGCCGAAGGCAGACGCTTAACGACTGAGCCACCCAGGCGCCCCCAGATTTTATTTATTTGACAGAGAGAGAGAGAGACAGCGAGAGAGGGAACACAAGCTGGGGAAGTGGGAGAGGGAGAAGCAGGCTCCCCGCCGAGCAGGGAGCCCGATGCAGCGTTCGATCCCAGGACCCCGAGATCATGACCTGAGCCGAAGGCAGACGCTTAATGACTGAGCCACCCGATGTCCCTCTTGTGCAAATATTCACAACAGTCCCATGAGGTGGCATTAGTATCCCTGATACAGAGATGGGGAATTAGAGGCTCTGAGTCTAAAATCCTCAGTGTGGCGCGAGAGCCACCCATGAACGGACTCAGGCTGATTTTCTCCTCCTTACATGTCCAACCACTGCTCTGCCCAGACTTCATGGCCTGGCTCACAGTCCCCTCAGGGAACATTCCTTGATTACGCCCACTCCCCTCAGTGCCGCCCCCCCCCCTTATTACCTTCACAGGAGGCACCAAGAGAGCAAGGAGACAGGACTTGGAATCAAAGGACATGAAGTTAAATTCTGGCCTTCTGGCTCCATTGCTGTGTGATCTTAGGGAAGTCGCTCCATCTCTCTGAGCCTATTTCAATCCAGAAAAACAGGGCTCAGAATTCCTGTTTCTCCCATGTGCTGCTACCGGACAGCACAGGTTAAGAGCCTGGTGGACAAGAGGCTCAATAAATGTTCATCCCTCCCTTCTTCCTCAGTGGGGTGATCTCCATCGAGATGCCTTGTAATTGGGTTCATAGCAAAGACCAGCTCTTGCCCTTTTCTTTGAGGAATTAAAAACAATCTAGTAAAAGAAATCTAAGCATTCAGGCCTAGGGGACTGTTTACATGAGTCCTGGGTAGCTACAGTGTGGGGTGAACTGAGCCACTAAAAAGCAGAGCTTAAAGGGCCTTCTTTCAATCACTTAGCAATATGCCTGGCAAAATACAGTATAGTGAAAGTTAATATTTACTGTAACATTATTAGCTCCATTTTACAGATGAAGAAACTGAGGCAGTCTGCCTTGAGAACTGTGCCCTTAACTAAGCTATAATGGCACTCTATAAAGAAAACAGAGAAGGGCCCGAAGCGACACTTGGCTTCGCTGCAGCTTTACTGAGTGAGGGACAGATGGGGGGCCGTTTGTCTCTGCAGAAGAAAATACTGAAAAAAATAAATTTGAGATTCTGGGCTATATTTTTTTTCCATCCTCCAAAAAATGTCTATATGTCCACAGTGAATATGTATTATTTAAAAATTTTTCATGTTTTAATTCATTTTAAAAACAGAGTAATTTATTCTTTTTAGTGTCCTGTCCTCTGAGTCACAGTTGTGTGACCACCACTGAACTCGAGATACAAGACATCTTGCCAGCCCCTCAAGTCCCCCTGAGCTGCCCCCTCCTGCTACCAGCCCAAACTCTGACGGCCACTGAGCTGTAGAAATGGAATCATACTATGTTGCTTTTATGATCACAAGAAATTTCCAAAACGTTAGAGGAAATAAAATTAAATCCAGAAGAGACATTAGAAAATCCGGCAGAAATCTGATGGACACACACATACACACACACACCTTGGTTATTCAGAGCCTTTGAGGACCTGTTGCTAAAAGCTGGGTTTTCCTGAGAGTGGGGTTGAGCCTCCACCTGCCATGCTGGCTCGCCTAGCCGTGTCCCGAAATGCGGTTCCCACAAGTGACTCACCCTTGGCAACCTCCCCAATCAGAATATTCTGAGCTTTGGGGGAAACTTGCCCTATAGGAACTGGACTCTCCTCTGTGCATCCCTGAAAGGCTCCCTGAGGGTGTCTTGGGAGCCCCTGCTCTGTGCTCCCACACAGCGTGGCCCCGGGGCGCATGCCTTTTGAGTTTCTGCAGGAGGCTGTGCGATTAGGTGGAGAGAGAACGTAGCTTTAGAGTCAGACAGACCAGATATACAATCCTGGGCACAACTGAACATATCAACCTGCGTGTGCGTGCGCATGCGTGTGTAAAATGGGCTCCTAATCTTACAGGATTGTGGTGATGATTAAATGGGACAATGTAAGTCAAATGTCTGGACCTGGATAAACGTGACCTCTGTTCTTTTTCTGTGGTTCCCTCTTGCTTTTTGCAGGGGGAGTGTGACCCTTTTCCTTCCTTCTAATTCGGGGTCTCTCGTCTTCCACTGATCAGGAAAGCAGAAACCCAAACTCTTAGAACTGTGTCTAAACGAAGAGTCAATAGGGCGTGAGTGGCTGAATCTTGGTTGTGTGTGTTTTGCAACTGAAGTTCACTTACTCAGAGACCTTCTTCTTCCCTTTTCTGTTCCTTGGCCTGGGTCTGGCTAGCCAAAGTTGTCAGATAATTGAGTTTTCTGGATAGATGAGGCATTGGTGGATAAGGCTAAGTATACCATCTTTTCTTCTTCATCCTGCTTTTATTTAGACCTCAACCCTGTGGGTCCGGAGTCCCAGATTCGCTACTCCATGATTAACGTGCCCAACATCACTAAGGACTACATTTCCTTGGATATCAATGTAAGTGCTGCCTTGTCAGCCCAGAGCTGTGGGCTTGTTGCCTCTGGAGTCCTCGGGGTCCTGGGACATTCCTAGAGGCGCAGGGGTATTGAAGGGAGAGGAGCTGGAATGGCATTTAGAGGCGGGCACGGGTGTGAGGTCGAACAACGCGCGGCATGCTGGGTGGGTGGCATCTGAGAGCCCAGGGTCTGGGACGGAGCCTCCACCCTACTGAGGCCCTGCTGCTTTTCTCCCTCTCACCGCCCACCAACCCCGTAGGCCATTCTCTTCCTCCTGGGCAAGCCCATCGTCCTGCCCGTGGAGGCCCCCCACTTTGTGCTGCCAGCTCACGTGGGTGCCGAGGGTGCCATGGCAACCGTGGGCCTCTCCCAGGACCTGTTTGACTCTGCCCTCCTGCTGCTGCAGAAGGCGGGTGCCCTCAACCTGGACATCACAGGGCAGCTGGTGAGGGTCGGACCTGCTGCCCCAAGCGCGGGGGAAAGGCGTGGCCTGCGGCCCAGCCTGGGGAGACCCCGCCGAGGCCAGACCATGGGTGGGGCCGCCCAACTTTGGGGCCACAGGGTAGCTGTTGGAAAGGTGAAGAGGGGGCCGAGGGGAGTCAAGAGGTGGTGGGGCTTGAGGAGTGGCTGCCCTAAAGCCTGTCGGGACGTGGGGGTTAATTTCAGAAGTCGGAGGACAACCTGCTGAACACCTCCATGCTGGGCCAGCTCATCCCTGAGGTTGGTGACATTTTTGGTCATTTCAGGGACTTTGAGACCTGGGCCTGGGGTGGGAGATTCTCTGGCTGGGGGACCTCCACTGGCCCGGATCTGTCCCCCGTGGGCTTCAGCGTGTGTCCTTACCTCTGCACCTTCTCCACCTCAGGGTCAGAGATTACGCTATTACCCTCCTTCTATGCCTTTGTCCAAGTGCAACCCTCTGCCTGGAGGGCCTTTTCTGCTTCCTTTTCTCTTGTTCATCTTCAAGACCAAGCCCAGGGGTTGCTTCCTAAGGGAGGACCCAACCCCTAGTCTGGTCCAGGAGCCTCCTTGAGCTCCCCCGTCCCTCCTGGCACAGATCACACAGGCTGCCCCCGACTTCATGCCTACCACCCCTTTCAGGCTGGGCATCCCTGAGGGCAGGGCCAGGGGCCTGGGGGGATGCACCTCGGTGGCCTCATCTGAGGCATGATGGGTGGAGAGCCCACCCAGCCTTTGCTCCCAGGTGCCCTCCTCCCTCTCTCCCTCTCCACTCTCCCAGGTGGCCCGCCAGTTCCCTGAGCCCATGCCTGTGACACTCAAGGTACGGCTGGGTGCCACGCCCGTGGCCACGCTTCGTGCCAACAATGCCACAGTTCAGCTGCAGCCCTTTGTGGAGGTCCACGCTGTGGCCTCCAACTCAGCTTTCCAGTCCCTCTTCTCCTTTGATGTGGTGAGTGAGGTGGGCTGGTGGGGCTGGCCGGGAGGGCGGTGACTCCCAAGAGCTCCCTTCCTGCCCCACATTCCTCGCTTGCTCTGCTCTGTCCACACTAGTCTCCTTGCTGTTCCTTCTCTAGGCCATGCCATTCCTGCCACAGGCCCTTTGCACGTGCTGTTGGACACTGTGCCTAGGACGCTCTTCCCCTAGTTTTTGGCATGGCTAGCTTCTCCTCATCTTCCAGGTCTCAGCTTAAACGTTGCAGCCTTTTTCAGGGCAGCCTTCTTGGACCACCCTGAGAAAGATGGTCCCCATCAGCCCTCTCCATGCTACTACTCTGCCTTCCTGGCCCCAGCTACTAAGGACCCTGTATGGTTACTTTGGTCATTGTTCACCTCCTCCCCTGGCCTGTGAGGGTTCCCAAGGGCAGAGACCTGGTCTGTCTCATTCACACTGTGCGGTGTGCAGGGCCTGGCACGCACGAGTGCTCCGTGAACACCGGAATCAGCCAGGAAGTGGCTGGGAGCCGGTGGCCACCTGAAGACTCCTATGTGGCTCTGTGTTCTTTGACCTTGCTCTCCCTTCGTGCCCAGGTCGTGAACCTGAGCCTCCAGCTCTCCATGTCCAGGGTGAAGCTTCAGGGGACCACCTCTGTGCTGGGGTAAGCAAGGCCTCCTGGATTCAGCAGCCTCGGTGTGCTCCTCTGTGCAATGGGCCCACAGCCACTTCTCGCAACGCCACCCGTCGCAGTGTCAGTCAGAGGAGCCTGGGAGGCCGCACGTATGGTATGGAGGGAGGGGGCACCTAGGCCCCAGCCCTAAGCCTCCTGCTTCCCTTTCAGGGATATCCAGCTCACCGTGGCCTCCTCCAATGTGGGCTTCATCCATGTGAGTGCGGGGCCAGGGTCTCCGGGGACCCCCTCGCTGGGTGGGGCAGGCCTTGAACCCGCATGCTGGCACACTATGCCCCTGTGTACCACACAGGTGCTTTGGTGCTTCAGTGGGGTGGCTCAGCTAGCCAGCCTGTCACTGCCCGGTGGGTGACGGCCGGCCAGTCCAAGAATCACCGAGTGCACTGGTAAATCCGCCAAGCCAGCGTCAGGCAGTGCTGGCTGCTGGCCACGTCCTTAGCCACCAAGCAGCTCTTTGTTGGCTGGCCTGTCAGTCTGTATGGCCCGTCAGTCCGTCCGCCGTCAGTCCGTCATCCATTGGTCAGCACCGGCAAGGTGGCCAGCCACCTGTCGGCCACGCGGTGTCAGGCAGTCCGGTGCCGGCCTTAGGCTCCTCTCAGAAGGCTGACCCGGCCCCAGGGGTAGCTGGACTCTGCTTGAGGCAGGACAGGGGTGACCTGTGCCTCTGCTTTTTGCGTGTGTGTCTGTGTCTGTCTGTGTGTTCACGTGTGGCCCATCTGTCCCTCTCTCCCGGCCCCTGCCCGGAGCGGGCTGAGGGTCCCCCGTCTCCCTGACCACACGGCTGCAGGCAAATCAAGTGCGCCCACTCATGGAAACCCTGTTCCGGAAGCCCCTGCTCGATCACCTCAATGGTGAGCCCTGCCCTCCACGCCGGTGGGCCTCCGTGACCCCCTCCTTGACCCACCCCTGCTCCACGCTCCCTCCCGGCCCCCTTGCCACCTCCCGGGCTCAGAGGTGAAGAGGGTGGGAGTTTTTCAGTTTTTTTCCCTCCCTAAGCCTCAGTTTTCCCTTCTGTAGAGTGAGTATAATAATAATGGCTCCCACTCCCTGGCCGTCTTCGGGGCTCAGGGTCACAACGCACTTGAGGACCTCAGCACAGGGCTGGCTCCCGGCGGTGCTCCGCTCCGACCTCCCAGCTGAGCTTGGTTTCTCTTTCCCCGCCTGCAGCTCTCTTGGGCATGGGGATCGCCCTCCCCAGTGTGGTCAACCTCCACTATGTCAACCCTGAGGTCTTTGTCTATGAGGTGAGAGCCTTTGGGTGTGACTACCTGGACTTCTGCCACCCTTGGGGGAAGGCTGGGCTCAGCAGGGCAGGGCTCTCTCTCACCCTCCCTCCCTGCCAGTACCAACAGCAGGGTCGCAGGCTCAGCCAGGCCTGGGGGTGTGCCCTGTTCCTGCCAAGACCATGCCATGAATCGTTAGCGGTAGTGAGATGGAAAATATAGGATGTCCAGAGACACTGGTGCAAAGGTCTCGCCCACCCTTTAGTCCTTGTCAGGTATCATGCCAGGCCACATTTGGGGGCTTCAGTTGTCCCATGATCTGTGCCCTGGGGTGGGCACAGCCTTCGGTGTCTGGGAACGATGACAGAGGAGTTTCTTCCAGCTTTGTACGTGAACCCCTGCAGGCTGGTTGGGGGAAGGGGTGCTTCCCGACCCTTCTAAAATCACTGTCCCTGATGAGAAATTGTGGGCCCAGGGTGAAGTTCAATCACCACTGTCCAGGGTGAGACCCTACAACTTCTTTTTGTTTCACCTGGGATAAAAAATGGTAATACTCTTTCTATTCGCTCAACAAGACATGCGTAGGACAGAAAGCTTAGCCAAGGTCCCTCAAGCCCAACATCTGCATGTTATTCAGATCCCCTGGGAGGGACCCACTGATGTTTCTCTGGGGATGATGCCCTGGTTGCTTAAGAACTATGGTCCCAAGGCACTTGGGTGGGCCACGCTCCACCCTGCAAAAAAGGAACCATTGGCACATGTTGGAGCCTGGGCTGGTAGTGGGGATTTCCCTAAGACTGTCTGGAACAGGCACGTCAGTGGCTGACCCAGCCTGGTACCCACAGATCCAGCCAACTGGGTCCAAACCCAAAGGTCCCTAGACCAGCACTGTCCAAAACAATGTTCTGTGAGGATGGAAGTCTGCACTGTCCAACACAGTAGGCATGGTCAGCCGCTGGGCCTGGGTGGCTGTTGGGCACTTGAAACGTGGCTAGTGCAACTATGAAGCTGAATTGTAAATTTTGTTTCATTTTAATTGGCTTTAATTTAATAATGGCTACTGTATTGGACCATGAGCTACGAGTGGGCAGGGACTGGGTCTGCCTTGTTCCTAGCATGTGGCCCGGGGCTTGGCTTAGAGCCGAGGCTCAGTGAAGATTTGTTGAATGAATGAATAATCAGCAGACCCTGAGCACGTTTCTGCAGTGCGGTGTAGAGAGCAGAGGATATATGGGAGGTTCCTGGCTCTGCTAGGGTGACTTGCGCCCGGAGAAGATCCGTGGTGTTTGGACTCCCAGTCCTAACACAGTGTTGGTCCCAACCACGTGCACAAGCACACATCAAGCCCCAGGCCCACGCTGGGGGCTCTGCCCACGTGCTCTGGCTGCATCCTCACTATAGGCTTGCAGGGAGGGTGCTGTTCCCACTCCCAAGGGACAGCAGGAAATTGAGGCCCAGAGAGGCAAAGGACTGTCCTCAGGACATACCCAGCAAGAGTGGTAGACTGTGAGCTCAAAGCCAGGCTGATGGGGCAGCTGGGGGTCCTATTGGTCCTCGTGTGGCCTCTGACCCTGCCCATGGTTTTCTGTGCCCTCCAGGGCTACGTCGTGATATCCAGCGGACTCTTATACCAGCGCTGAGGTGGGACCATCAGAAGAGCTAAGAGGGGCCAGCTCCCTGCTTCAGGGACTCTCTTGCTTTAAGCCACTTAGGAAACTGAGGCAGAGCCACACTTAGCCAACACCAGCGAGCTAGATGATCCAGCCAGGCTGTTTAGTCTTCACTGAGTGCCTGAGCTCCCCTCCCTCCCCTAGAATCCTTTCCCTGCCCCCTTCCCTCCCCTCCTTTTCCCTCCCTCCCCCTTCCCTCCCCCTCCTTGTGATGCTAGCAGCAGGTCGCTCCTCCAGGCTGTACCAACCTGTCCCCTGTCGCATTAAACATTTTCTCTTGAGCCGCAACTTCCAGCCAGGCCTGGTGAATTCGCGCAAACCTGAGGCTAGTTGCCTACATCCAGTTCTTGGGTCCTGTTTGTCCCTGGAGCCATCAAAGCCACCTGGCAGAAGAAGAGGATGTGACCACATCTCTGTTGACCAGATCTGTTGACCTTCCTCACTGCGTTGCCCAGGGAAACTCAGCTTTTGAAAGGGGACCTTGGAGAGCAGCAGGAGGGCTATGAGTTACCAATACCACAGTGACACTTGACGCACTATGTCCTCAGCTGGTGGCGTCTCCCCTCTACAGTGTCACACCCCATCTTGTTCCTAGAACCTCAGAGGAGCCTTACCAGTCAGGCAGGCAGGCTTGTGGGGCTCCATTTGGCAGAGGTGAGGACTGAGGCCCAGCCAGGAGAGAAATGTGCCAGGTCTCAGAGCAGGATGCGGCAGCAGATGCCTAGGGCTGCGCCCTTCCTGGGCTCCAGGAATGAGATGTCCAGTTCCCTCTCCTGCTCACCAGCACCCCATCTGGGGCTTGTCCTTGGGTCACAAGCCTCAGGTGACAGGGAGTGCGCTGCCTTCTCGGGCAGCGTCTCTGCCTTGGGCTTACTCGGACCACAGGCAAGTGTCTGTAGGAAGGAGAGGGCCTGCCTCCTGGGCCTGTGGCCTCACAAAGCAAGTCTCAGTCCTTTGCCGCTGAAAGTTCTCTGCATTCCGAGGCTCATGCACAACAAGATGGCCTAAGGAAGAGCAAGGGACGTGAACCCTGGCAAGCCAAAGCTGTGTGATTTTCTTCCCTTGATAAGCTAAGCTCTTAGCCAGACAGAGTGTTCCTTCCTGCCTAGATATACAGGATTCACGTTCTGTTTATGTTTCTCTGGGGGTAAAAGGTGCCTGAATTCCCACCCTCAGCCTTTGGTACAGTGTGACCCTAGCCCCTCTCCGTCTAAGGGTTAGGGGTTCACACTGAAGTCTCAGTGTGACAGGCTGAGAGGCCTGGAGCAAACCCAGAGTCTGGGTGGTTGGTGGGGGGGGGGGGGGGGGGGGGTGTGAGCAGCTCTGAGGGCCCGGCTGTAACATCCAACCTTGTGGCTGTATTCAGGACAGCACGATTTTTATTTCATTTGGTTGCTTAGTTCATTCATTCATTAATCCTACTTTTATTGGTACTTAATATAGGCTTAGCCTGAGGCTAGGTGATTTGGAATATGAGAAAGACAAAAATTTTTAAGATGCAGAGCCAGCCAGAAGAGAAAGGTAATAACTTAGGACCAGATTGTGAGCTCAGGATCCAGGATCCATCTAGTTAAGTGGTCAGTCCAGGGATCCAAACACCCGCAGCTGAGAAGGGTTAACATCACACTCACTCTGAAGGGAACGCACTGAATTCCCTCATTTATCATAGGATGAGGGCACCTGGGTGGCTCAGATGGTTAAGCGTCTGCCTTCGGCTCAGGTCATGATCCCAGGGTCCTGGGATCGAGTCCCGAATCGGGCTCCCTGCTAGGTGGGGAGCCTGCTTCTCCCTCTGCCTCTGTCTCTCTCTCTCTCTCTCTCTGACTCTCATGAATAAATAAATGAAACATTAAAAAAATAAATAGTTTATCATAGGATGAGAGTGCAAGGATGCATTCAGAGAAGGGGGCAATCACGGCTCCAGACACATGGGGTGGAGAAGGCAAGGCCCGCCTCCTCTCAGATCTGGCCCCTTCACAGATTAGCCCCCTCCGCGCCCCACCTCCCCGCCCACCCCCATGCACGCACACCTTGCACACTTGCTCTCTAAGTCTTTGCCCTTGCTCTTTCTCCCCCAGGAAACCTTAACCTGAATCGGTTTGCCCCTGTCAACCAGCTCCAAAGCAGGCTCCCTGGCCACGCCCACACCCTTCGGCCGAGGTGACTCTGATGTCCTTCACTTTCAGACCACGGTTGTTGGTATCTGTGGTTTCCCTCACGGAGCTCAGCACACGGCAAGTGCACATAAATGTGTGCTTAGTGAGCTGCTCACACGTGTAAATGCTGGCCCAGGCTTGCCCCAGTCCCCAGCCCCAGGAAGCCATGTGGAGACCCATTCCCATGGGTAGGTGTGGGAGTCCCCTTTGTTGGGTCCCCACAGCGTCTGCAGGGAAGGCGAAAGATGGCATTGAGCTTCAGGACTGGCCCTGTCTTCGGTGTCAGAGAGGTAGGGGGAGGAAAGGGGTTAGGAGGGCTCCCTGGGGGAAGCAGCAACAGCGGGTCCCGGAGGATGGCTGAATTTGCAGCGCTGGTGGGGTGGGTGTTGTAAGGACCAGACAGGCAATGCTGGGGTGCGGGGAAGGGAGGTCAGGCTGTCAGGCAGGAGCCCTCTTGGGTGGTGCGCTTTGGCAAGTCTTGGCTTGGGATCTGGAGTCCCTTAGATCCAGACGCAGCTCCTGGTTGTGCCATCACTTGTTGTATGACCTTGACCCAGTGACTTGACCTTGAGCCTCAGTTTCTCTACCTGTAAAATGGAGACAATTGTCAAAGTGTTCATCTCATAGGGTAGTCCTAAGGTTTAAATGCTCTAGTGCAGGTCAAACACTTAGCCCGAGGCCGGGCTCCGGTCACAGGCACAGGAAATGTGCCCTCGTGTCCCTACTACCGCCAGCAGAATGCTAGCTGGGTCAGAGTGCCGACAGCAGGTCCAGCCGCAGGCGTGCTGGACCAGGCCTCCCCCGGGGACCCTGAAGCCGTGTGGTGACCCAAGGCCCCAGGAAAGACTGTTTCCTTACAGTAATTTTATTTTTAGGGAGCTTGCCTCCCCTCTGGCCATTAGAGCTTGGTTACGACCAACTGACTTTGAGCTTAGGGCAATAGGGGTTGGCGTGAATGTCCTTTTGCCTCTCAGAAAGCCTATTGTTATTCTCCTCCCTCATGACAGAGAGGATGAAACAGCATTTCAAGGTCACATAGCTTGCGAGGGCAGTGGCCAGCCCGGGGCCCCCGAGCTCTGAACCTAGGCCAGGGGGTTTCTCCAGCCTCCCCACCATGTCCTTCCTGCCTCCCTGCTCTCCCCACAGTACCCAGGACGGCCCTGGGGGGGAGGCAGGGAGAGCCGGCTGACTTGAGGCACACTGGGGGAGATTTGCACTCGGGAGGAGGAGGTGAGGTTTGTCTGTCCCTCTGTCTGTCAGGGGCGGATCAGCAGCGATAAAACGATGCTATCTGCGGACTGGCTCCTCCAGCTCAGGGCTCAGATCAGGATAGAGACTGGCTGGGCCGACCTAGGACCTTCTCTCCTCCTGTCCCCACCTGGCTTCATTCCCGCTGACCTCAGGCAGGCCCTTGCCCCCTCTGGCCTCAGGGGCCCCAGTGTGCATCGGGCACAGTGGCTTCCCCCATCTTCCAGAGCTCTGAGCTCCCTGTGGGGCAGATGAGGAAAACCTCAGTCCTCCAGCAGCCCCTCGGGACTTGCCATCACCCCAGCCAGGCCTCCTAAGGCATCGTGGAAAGCACATGAGAGGCTGGACACCCAAGCCCGAGTTCCAGCCCCAGCTCCGTGGCCGGCTTGAGTGTGGCCCTGGGATCACCCTGCCCTCATTGTCCCAGATTCGGACCTTGAGAGAAGCTCACCTGCTATTTACCAGCTCCTGGCATTTCCTCCAGGAGGGTCCTTCTGAGGATCCCCCATGGGGCTGTTAGCCCCTGGTGCCCTGTGTGCATCTCAGGTGATCCAGCGATGTCTGCCAGGCCTTTGCACTTGCCGGCACCGGCCTGAAACACCTCATGCCTCGGGCATCGGCTCCAACACTCTCTGCTCCAGGAATCTTCGGCTCTAACGTCAACCCCTTGCTTCCCTTCCTATCCTGTCCCTCTGGTTCAGCGGCTTCCACTACTCTTACCTCGCCAGGAATGACCTGGCTCTGTGACTGTTGATTTGTGGCACGTCCATCTCCCCCCGTAGGCTCCAGGAGGAACCCTAACAGCCTTGTTCAATGCAGCACCCCAGTGCCCTGCGCAGGCCCGGCACACAGTAGGTTCTCAATGGATGTAGAAGAAACAGATGAGAGTGCCAACTATGTGTCCAACCTGGTGGGAGGTGCTGTGTGCAGGGGAGGGGGCAGTGTGAGCCCTGAGGCCGGCTAAGGCGACCGCATCCTCCCCGCCCCAGCGCCCACCCTCGTGCAGCACCCAGGCTCCCCAGCCACTCTCCTCCTCTGTGTTATTGACATTGGAACAGACTGAAGCATCACGTGAGCGTCGGGGCTCTGCTCTTTGGGCCGCTAGATAATTATCTGGGCCTTATTAAACCCTTAATTACCCAAACAGCTCATCAGGTTCCTGAATATAAGGACTTTCTCGTCCCAGGGTTAGGAGGCAGAGGTCAGTCATCTGCAGGACATCCCTGGGCTCAGCAAGGTAAGGACAGGCCCCATGCGTGGAACTCTCCCCAGGTAGTGTCTTCTCCAGCCCTGTCATTTTTTTTTTAATTTTATTTATTTATTTTGAGAGAGAGAGAATGAGAGGGAACACACGAGAGGGGATAGGGTCAGAGGGCAAAGCAGACTCCCTGCCGAGCAGGGAGCCCGATGCGGGACTCGATCCAGGGACTCCAGGATCATGACCTGAGCCGAAGGCAGTCGCTTAACCAACTGAGCCACCCAGGCACCCTAGCGCTGTCATTTTACAGATGAGAACACTGAGGCCAGAGAGGAGAAGGGACTTGCCTGAGATCACACAGCAAGTGA